GGGGGTACATTCCACCAAAATTGTCCCTTTTTCCATGGTATAGTGAAAAACCCAACACCTGCTGTTAAGAAAGCAATCTGCAGTCACTGGGTAGCAAACATTGCCTTAGAAAGGCTAATAATAATAATGATGGTGATGATGATGATGATGATGTTGCATTCATATAAACAAGCAAATTAAACTCTGGTGGGATTTCAGTGCTTAGAGTTTTGGGGGAAGACTCTTTTCCTGGATATAATGCAAAGGAATGATTATAACTTCTAGGCTTCCACACGTATTTGATGTCTTTGGAGGTAAAAACTCCAAATCTCCAATATAAGCCTGCAAGGAGTAGAAAAGAAATGCAAACATGAGTATTCAGACATCATTTAGAAGACAAAGGAGAAGTAACTTTCAACATTCGACTCTAGGTAATTCTATGCTTTAACAAGTTTCCTGGCCTTTCTCTTGCTCCATTATTGTTCTGTTCAGTTGTGCCTTTAAGTTCTGTCTATGTCTTGAGGGATATAGGACATATATATGTATCTATACACATGTATCTGTCTATAGACATCTACTCTATCCTGAATACAAAAGTGCAACAAGTATGATTCCTTTTTTTTATTTTAAATTTGAATTCTCCAGATACAGGTTTCTGTATTTAAAGTTGTCAGACACTTTATAGAGAGATGCCACTTTAAAGTTGCATTAATTTCTTACAATCCAAATCATTGTAGCTGTAATTTTTACCTTTGTGTAATAGACTCCAATCAAATCAGGGTAAGTGGCAACTCCAGAAAAACAAGGTAATTTGACTAAACTTTTCTGTCTAGGCTGAGTCCAGGCTCACCAGGTCCCTGAAGTAGGAAAGCATAAAGTATAAATGGAATAAAACCCTAGGGGTCAAAATACAAAACAAAAACTCTTTAGGATTTTGTTCCTTTATGCTCCACAGTGTTTAATCCCAGAGAACCAATAAATGCAGATGGAGCACAAAAAATATGAACTCACCTTAATATTGCATTTTTTTATAACTTCCACTAATCCAAATGTTTGCTTCACAAGTCATGTGTAAGAAAGAGTTTGCATGGTTTATATTCCCAGGATCCCATTATAGTAAAGCTCCAAAACAGTTCACTCAAGTATTAGTAAAACTGAAAGGTAAAAAAAGTCCAGATTCCCAGCTGATAATAAATCACTTCATGTCAAGCAAAAAAAATTCTGACCTCTGCTGTTCAGCATGACTCATTAAAACAAGAACTACAGAAATAAATATAGTTAATAGAGTATTAATAGAAATATAAATTCTGCTATCTAAAGGCAGATGGCACAATGAAGAGAGCACATCAGATTACTAAGTCTGCCTCTATACAGAAGAAAACTTCTGTATTGGACCCTTACTACACATTGCTCTCCCCACCATTCCCTTGCAATAGAATTTTGTAACCTAAGCCAGCTTGGTGTCAGAGAGATTTATCTGGTGTATGCACCTTTTGTATAATTATTCAGTTATTACTCCTATAATGCACAGCATTATCTGGAATAAGTCTGCACTACAGTGGTGAACCTCCAAAGTAGCTTACGTTTCTTCTTATAATCCCCCACTCAACCTAACTCCCTTGTGAGATCTGAGAGGAATATTATTCATTCTACAGACAGAAATTTAGAAAGAAGGAAAGAAAGAAGTCCAACATTTCACAGAGAATTAGTAAGACAGCAAGAAGCTGAACTCAAGTTGTAAAACCTAGACAATGCCTCAGTAGCATGAGCAATACACAACATTTCAGCCCCATCCAATCTTCTGAGAATGTTTGCCCAAGATACAAGGTTCTAAGCTGCCAGGGAGGAGATACAGAAAAAACTGGCCAAATTTATTTTTTTTTAATTCTCTTTTTGTCTGCTTTTTAGACAATTGTTAACAAACAGAACCACAAACAACTCTTTCAAAGCCCCTTTGTTAGAACTGAACCTGCTGGAACATAGCACATATTCAGGTTCCTTGCTTTGATTTATTCCTACTGCATGAACAGAAAGAGAAAATAATGAAAGCTGCTACGTGGCATTTGCATTTTGGCATGTAGGAATCCTCCTAAAATAAAAATCCAGACAGCCATCTAGAAATTGAATATGCCAACAAAACAGCACAAGTGAGTGAGAGATCTTCTTATTACAATCCCCCTCATGTTTTCAATGATTTAGTTTTCAACTTTCTTGATCCTTTCCATGCAAACTTCTCACTACTTTTTCACTATCAGACTTCCATACTGCACAGAATCTCATTTTGTAGGCTAAAAAGATAGAATGAAACTTTTAGGTTTTCAACAAACACCAGTGAGAAAAAGAATGAGACAGCTACTCCTATTAATGGCACAAACACCATTTTTAGTAAGTAAGGTTAAGCTTTTAGGTCAAGATTAAAATTGCTTTTCAATTAGATTTTAAAGTCATATTATTAACTTCAGTAGATCTACACCTACATGTAGTAATAAAAATAGATTCCTTTGACTGCAAGATCAAGCTTATCGTAATAAAGAGTTTATGGAAAACTCAAAAATTAACACAGACAAAGGTACAATGTTATTTTAAAGAAATCAGAGGTGATTCATCACAATTCCATGGATAGAAACTGTGTTTTGCAATACAAAGTTTTGATTCTTACATCACATCCCATGCTTCCACAGAACAAACAGTTCTTAATAAATCCATTAACTGGCATGTTTGGAGACCTGGAGCTTCCGTGGGTCACAACTGGAACCATTGCTCCCATTGGAAAAGTCTAAGTTTCTTTCGAGACGTGTACTGCAACTTTAAGTAACTCCTATTGGTAATCAAAAATATTTTCAAATCCCACTTCTTACAAACCCAGATCTAGTTTAACTCCTACACTCAAATATGCAAGCTAAAATCTTTAATAGTGACTTCCAAAATTATCACAAAAAAATGCAAAATAAAACAAAACCTTACCAAGCTCCTATTGTGGCAGTAGGGATATTTACACATGGAAATAACACAAATATATAAGCATTTGCAAAGTCCTGGGCAATATTATCCTTAGACCTAGCTTTTATTTGCAAATTAAGTATGCATTTTAAGACCTAACAATGACTAAATACAGAGGTGATGACATTAAAAATCCACTCAGCGAGACTTCCTGCATAGAACATAACAAAACACTTCAAATCTAATTTTCAGCAATTTAAGAACTAATTTTTAGTGCTGTTGTGTTGTAATTCAATATAATTTACAGAGGTCAAATATGCATCCATAGCAATAGGGTATGATCTCCAAAATGCAATAGCTCCATAAAACCGAACCATCCCATGTATCCGAGAAGAAGAATCCATTTGCTGCACCGAGGAACAAGAGGCTGAATTTCTTTTTCTTCAAGCCAGCAGTAGCTGTGAAACTCTTAGCCCCCTGAAGGAGTGGCTCACACTAAACCACACTGAATTGCTTCCTCAGCAGCTGTTCCTACATCTTGGCGTGGTGAGAGGTCGCTCAGAAAGAGATACTGCATCTATGTGGAAACATTGACATTAAAAACCCACCTGAGCAGACAGGTAGTAAGACTGGCTCTATCACACTAACACCTGCAGTATGCACTGTGTTATAACGCCCACAAAAACCTGGATACATCACGAAAAAATAGGAAAAAGGCAAGCAACACAGCAGCAGATGCTTTCTTGTGTCACTTGAAGTAATGATGAGTGTATTTGAAAAAACAATTGGTCTAAACTAGGTGAGATTTAATAGATTCAGGTGAGTTTAGGCATTGGCCATAATTAAGAAAAATCAGCTCACTACCACTTAACTTTGAATGAAAGGCACAGCCTGAAGTTTTCGGGCCAGAGATCGTCTGAATTGGCTTTACACTTTCAGGTTATTTGTTTTAACTTTATGAACAGTCTTTTAAGCAACAAGAGAGAAGGATCTTCCTAAACACAACACCATGGGGAAGCCGCCGTGGCTCCTCTCTCAAATGATAAGCTCTGAGCTGGAGAGTCACAGGGAAAAAAGCAAAAGGAAAACGAACGTGAATTTTAAAGGGGGAATAGACGTCTCAACTACGAGGCCCTCGCAGAGGGAAGAGTAAAACGAGACCAGGCTGTCGCTGCTTTCGTAATTGCAAAGGTGCTGCCTCAAAGGGGAGAAAACTTCCACTAGCAACTTCCTCTGAAACACCTGAAGAAAAGCAGCACACAAGGGCTCGTACTCCCCTCAAGTGCAATCCATCTGATAATGTCTAACATTTATTAACAACAACTTTAAACACCGCTGAAGAGAGACGGCTTCTCAAACGAGGGTCAAAGACGAACGCTTTGGAAACCCAACAAGGCTCAGCCGCAGGGAGATGGGGAAAGCGCAGGGAGACGGGGCAGAGCCAACAAGTGTGGGGCCGGGTTTGCTTGGCCCGCTGGCGTTCCCAAGGGCGCGGTGGCCGGGAGAAGCGAGCGGGGCCGGACTGCAGCGGGCGGCCCTCGGGAGGAGAATGGGGTTCGCTCCCGGCCTCGGACTCCTACCGGGCTGATCCCGTACCGGGCTGCCCGGCTGGGCCTCGGCCGTTTCCCCCCGGTGCGAGACCCACCATCGCTGCCCGGGCTGCGGAGAGCGGGCCCGCCAGCGCTGCGCTCCGCCGGCTCTCTCTCACACCGACACCGCTGCGCTCCGCCGGCTCTCACACCGACACCGCTGCGCTCCGCCGGCTCTCACACCGACACCGCTCCCCAACACGGGACTGCCCGGCCAGGCCGCCCTGCTCCCGGGGATCCGCGCACCACCGCTCCCCGCTCCCTTGTCCCGCTCGTCTCCCTCTCCCCGCGGCGCAGAGTGAACAAACGCGCCGCCGTCTACCTGTGCAACACCTCCGCAACACATTTTATTTACACGGAATTAGCTCGGGGCATTGTACACTATATACAGATATTTTCCCCCTCCAACAAGGCAGATCTTGTGCAAGATTAGTAGCATCCTCTGGAGCGTATCGGACAGTCCACGGGAAATGTCCCCCCCACTTAGAAGTATCAGCTGTCAGAGTCCAAGTCGCTTTTCCCGTCCTCTTGTCTCTTCTCCGGTGACGTTTTAGACGCTTTATTCCACTTTTGTGCGTTTTCTGATTCCTCTGAAGACGATCGCTTTTGCCTCCTCCACTTCGCCCGGCGGTTTTTGAACCAAACCTGTTGCGTTAAGAAATTAAATTATTAGAGGGAAAAATAAAAATAAAACTATGCAAACCCGCAGCTGACCTCAGCTCCGCAGGAGCCCTGCCGGGGCCGGTGTGAGTGGCCGCGCACGGACAGACGGACGGAGGCGGGGGAAGCAGCCGCTCGGGTGGGACGGGCCGGGCGCCTTCGGGAGGCACAGCCGCCGGCCGACAATCCCTCACAGCCCTGGGACAGGCTCGGCCGGCCGGCCCAAGGAAGGGCACTTGGAAAGAATAAAGAACTTTCCCTCTGACCCCGCAAAGCGGCTCCGCTGGCAGAGCCGGGCTGGAGCCGCACCGCGTTACATCCGGCTCGGGTGCGTTTGAGTGCGAATGGGAGGGTTGAAGAAGGAAAAAGAAAGCAAAGTACCTCCACTTTTTCCTCTCTTAAGTGCACCCTTCTGGCTAGCTGTTCCCTCGTGCCCACGTCCGGGTATTTCGTTTCCTGGAAGAGGTTTTCCAGCGCTTCCAGCTGCTCGTCAGTGAAGATAGTCCGGTGCCGCCTTTTTCGCCTGCAGTGCAGCTGGTTCAGTAACTGCAGCTCCGTCCGGGACAAAGTGCCCACGTTCATGTAGGGCAACATCTGATGGGGAACAGGGGACATCAGGACTGACCCAGTGCCCTCGTAACCTACGGACAGACAGACGAGTCGACGATAGGCTTTGCATGAGATCGCTGCTTCCCCCCACTCCTGTCCCGTCCCGAACAGAAATTGCCCCCTCCCGCCGCCCGGCCGCTCTCCTGCGGCCGCCAGCTCCCCGCCACCGCTCGGGCCCCGGGCTGCGGGAACAAAGGGGGCCCGGCCCGTCCCATCCCGGCCCGTCCCGTCCCACGGGGGCCGCCTTACCTGCGGGGGGCACGCAGGAGCACTGCTGAGCGCCCAGCGGCGGCACGGCCCCGCAGCACGAAGGGCCCACGGGGGACGCGGGCACATGCAGCTGCCCGTAGTAGTAGTTGTTGTAGCCGAGCCGAGATCCAGTGACGGCCGGCGGCAGCGCGGAGGCTGGAGCCACCGCCCGGGAGTAAAATCCGCCGTAGTCGGAGGCGCTGCCGTAGAGCGAGTCCCCGTGGAGGCTGGGGAAGACGACGGGCGCGGCGCTCGGGGGCAGCAGCACCGAGTCCTTGCAGCGAGGTCTGGCCGCCAGGATATTGTCGATGCTGAACATGCTCACAGGCATGCCCCAAAGCGTGCAGGGCAGGGCGGCGGGGACCGGCCGGGGGAGGGAGGGAGGAGGGCGGGAGGGAGGGTAGGTGGTGGCTGGGGAAGGGGGGGGGAAGAGGCTGGAAGGACGCGAAATCGAAACTTTTCGGATAAATTTGAAAAAGGGATCGGAGCGAAAAGAAAAGAGCCTTTTCCGAGGGCAGCTTGCGGGCAGAGTGTGCGTGTGTGTCTGTGCGCGCGTGTGCGGTGTGTGTGCGTGTGCGCAGGATCCACCCCTGGAACTTTCCCCCCTCAACTCTCGCCTGTTTACTGATCTCAACCCAGAGGGCTGCTCGGAGTATAATCCATCTGAACCTCTTCCCTTTTTTATACCCAGGCGACGTCATCCTGGATTTAGTTCCTGGTAATATGCAGATGACAAACAAAACCAGATTTGATTTTTTTTTTCTCCCCTTTTTTTGGTGGGGAAGAGGTGGGGGTTACACAAAGGAGTGAAAGCAGCCCGAGTCTGTGTATTGAGAATTAATGAAATTAACGTAATCCTTTCCATTAGTGGGTTTTTTAGAAAGGCCCCAGATTTAGGCTTGATCTCTGCTGCACCGGCTAATTGCCCAGGTTAATCTTATTAATGCCATTGTGTAGAAGTGGTTAGCAGCTCCTAGTCTTGTCCATTATGCGCCTACTTTGGTCGTGTTAGTTCACATTAGTGGGTGCGATTTCCTCTGTCTAAGGCTCAGATTCATTATTTATGCTTCGAACTGCTTAAGAAGCACTTTAAAAAAAAAAAAAAATAAACTGCCACATAAACATGCAACGCCCCCCCACTCCGAGTGTTTCTGTAGCACGATTTGAATCTTGCGTCCCCGGCTCGGAGGGCTGAGCGGGCATTGAAGAGTATGTGTTTCTGTGATTTAAGGTTTATGCAGTGAAGCAACAACGTCTTCACTGAGTAACTGAACTATTTTATTTTTACTATTTTCCTAGGTCACCTGGTGGAACAAGGACACATGAATATTGTAAACTTCTATCTCTATGTTTTCTTTCTTTCTTTCTTTTTTTCTTTTTTAACAGATTCAGACAGGTATCGCCTTATATTTTTAATACAAGCCAAGAGACGTAAACGTTAAAGACCAGTGCCATCTCAAATCCCCGGGTGTGGTAGGTATCCCAATTTACTTCTGATCTGTCTTGGTGCCTATTTCTTTTCTTTTCAATATTTAATTATCTAGCTTAGAAAACAAAGCCCATAAAGTTGCAATGATGCGGAAAACTTCATATTTTGCATGCTCTATGAATTTTTAAATGGAGAAATTTTAAATCCCTAAAACTCTTCCTATTAAGAGGTTTGGCTCTCCTGGTAGCTGGCTCTTGTGATTTGCAGAATACTTCGTCTGTCACGACTGTCCCTGGGAATCCACAGGAGGTGAACTGAATAAGATTAGACTATTTACCCCATCAACTCTCCATCAAAGAAGGTAGGAAATTGTACGCATGAAATGAAAACAAGCCATTAGAGTCCGTTTACGAGGAACACATTATTTTTCCTCAACAAAGAATATCCTCGTTAGCGCTTACTCGCACTTTATCTTTAGCCTTTCTTTCCTCTATATTCCAGGATTTAAAACCGCACCTGAGAATGATCTGAAACGTATTTACAGCGAAAGACTTGTATAAGCGTTAAAAAAAAAATGCCAAAACTAAATTCTCGCTTTGTTGATACTTCGCAATGTGTTCAATTAGCTGCATCGGTTTTTGCTTCAATTTATCTGCCTAACCATTTCTTTACGCCTTTGGCATTTAGACCTGAACTTCGTGCAAGTTTTTCAAATTTGATGGAAAGTGAAACTATTTGACAGAGTGTTCGGCGGGTTTTTGGATAGAATTGAGAAATTTTTTTTTCTGTTGATATTTTGAGAGTTTTCTTTATTTTTTTGTTTGTTCGAGGGTGGGCTCGGCGAGGGAGTTTCCGTTTGTTGGGGTTTTTTGGTCAGTAATTCCCTGAGTGCAGCCGGTCACGCTGCATGCAGAGCAGCGCCTGCTTAATGCCGCCATCGGGATGCTCCTCCACGTCCTCAGCGGCTCTGCAGCAATGCGCCGCAGCATCCCTCGGGAGGGGAGCGGGGCTCGGGGTCCCGGGAGAGCCGGGCCCGAGGGGAGGCCGGCAGCGGGGCACGGCCCGCTCTGCTCCGCATCGGCCCGTCTGGAGCATCCCGGGGGCTCGGAGCGGCGGGGACAGCGCTCAGCCGGGACTGCCGCCCCTCGGGGAACAACCCGGGTGAGCCCCAGAGCCCGCTCCTGCCGTGGGGACACCCGCGGTGGGGACACCTGGCTTCTAGCGTGTTCAGCATCACTGGCGTCAGGGCTTCATGTCCATGGCTGTCCGGCTTCTCCCAGGTGGTGTCAGCACCGCGGGACACGCGTGGGCACCGGAGGAGCCGCGGCGCTGGAGCAGCACACACCGCCCGGGCCGGACGGGCGCTCGGCTTCCCCAAGAGTTTTCTGCTCCCCTGACGGATGATCCACCATGCTACAACGCCTACCTTTATTCTTAATTTAAAAATTATATTTTCCAAAAACTTGTCCCCCCAGTGGGGAAGGTTTATTCTATTTTGTTTTGTTTTGTTTTAGTGTGAGTCGTTTTGCCGTGAAACCCCCGGTTTTGATACCCGCTTGGCAAAACCCGCTCTCGGAGTTTCTCATTTCCCATGCGCTCTTCGCTAACCTGGCAAACGGAAAATTGTGTTAAATAAACAATCAGTTGTCGCACAATGTCGGGGTGAAATTGTAATAACAAATGAAACACAAGCAAATTGTGCTGCATAGTGTTGCTAAGCAATTGTTTGTTACGGGAGGGTGGTCACAGCATGGGTTGAAAGAGGGATCTAAAGAGGAGCATAGCGCTGGGCAGAGCAAGCTGTTAGGTATGAAATACGGTAAACACCGCGCTGATTTTCAATATTATTACCCAAACACGATTCCATACAAAGCAATCACCATACACAAGTCTATGAAAATGCGCTTGTTGAGAAAACAGACATTTTTTTTTATTATTATTTTAATACATTGAAGAACAATTCCGGGGATGCAAGAGGCACCCACCGCCTTCCCGGCAGAGCCTTTGGCCGGCTGGAACGGCACCGGGGCTGGCGGCCGGGAGGGGCCCGGGGCACCCCAGCCCAGCTTAGCTCGGCACGGCACTGCACGGGCCGGGCTCACCGTGGGCAGCGGGTCGGCTGCGGCTCCCGCCCCACGCCAGGGGCAACGAGGGCTGAACCGGGGGCTTGGTTACGAGCGGCGGCGAAAGCGCGCTTCGCGGCACATCTCTCACTTAGAAATGCCATCACCCTGCAGCGCTCACCCACGTTTGTTTCAAATTGATTGCATCATTGCTTCACCAGGAAAAAAAAAGTATAAAAGTCATACAATGCGAAATTAGCGTAATTTGTTCCCAGAATAAACTTATCTTGAACTGATTAGGAGAGTCAGTCATTTGAAAACGAGGCAGAAAAGCGGTTGGGTTTTTTTCTGAAAGCTTCCCTCTAACGATATCGGCTTCTAAAGTTTTCATTCATATAAACTTTATTAATGAAGATCTTTTATTTAAATGTCAAGAGGATTTGAAATTTAGAGTAAATTATGAAGCATGCATGTCTTGCCAA